GCTTTGGAGACCAGGCTGGCCTCGAACTCACAGAGATCCGCCTGCCTCTGCCTCCCAAGTGCTGGGATTAAAGGCGTGCGCCACCACCGCCCGGCAAGACTTTGAACTTTTAAAAGAGATTTTGGATTTATTAAAGAGATTGGATATTTTAAAGAGGCTGAATTTTTAATGTGTTTGAATTTGTAAGACTGTGAGACTTTTAAAGTTATTTATGTTTTTAATGTGAGATCTTGGGGATGAATGAGAAAGGAAAGGTTGTGGTTTTTATAGTGATATGTTTTTCTGTCCAGCTGATAAGGGGTCAATTGTGTTGGAGTTTTGTGTCAACATGACACAAGCTGGAGTCATCTGAGAGGAAGCAACCTCAGTTAAGAAAAAAGAAAGCCACTAAGCAGTACTTCTCCATGGACTCTGTATCGACTCCTGCCTCCAGGTTCCAGCCCTGTCTGAGTTCCTGTCCTGACTTCCTTTGATGATGAACAGTGCTGTGAACTGTAAGCCAAGCAAACCCTTTCCTCCCTAAGTTGCTGTGGTCATGGTGTTTTGTTGCATCAATAGGAACACTAATTAAGACAGGTGTGAATCAATACAAGGGCTGCATTTCTTCCTAAGCGTTGCTAAAGTCACAGCCCAGTTTTAAGATGTTCTCAAACAGTAGGAACCATGTATGTTGTAGACGGATTTTTCTTTGGGCCACCAGCTCACAAAAAATGTCATGGAGACTTATTATTAATTATGAAACCTTGGGCTTAACTTAGGCTTGTTTTTAACTAGCTCTTCTAACTTAAATTAACTTATTTCTATTAATATATGTGCTGCTGTGTGGCTTGAGGCTTTTACCTCTCCTCCTTCATATTCTGCTTCCTCTCCATCTCCTCTGGAGTCTCTCCCACACCTAGATTCATCTCCTTTCCTTCTCTCTCTGCCCAGATGTCCCACCTAACCTCTTCCTGCCTAGCTATTGGCTATTCAGCTCTTTATTAAACCAATCAGAAGGGCCTTGGCAAAGACACATCTTCACAGTATACAAAAAAGATTATCCCACAACAGTATGTTCACCTAACAATTTCATATTCTCTATATACATTAAAATTTTAACTTATTATTAGAGAGAGAGACCGTGTGTGTGTGTGTGTGTGTGTGTGTGTGTGTGTGTGTGTGTGTGCTTACATGAGAATGCTTGCGAGCAGTGCATGCGTGCCATGGTATCCATGTGGAGGTCTGAAGACAGCCTTCAGGAGTCCACTCTCACCTTCTTCTGTGTTGAGGCATACTCTCTCCTTGTTGAAATTTCATATTTTTATTCAATTTTTTTCCTTTAAAATCTCAGGAAAAGAAATTATTAATAATAATTCATGAAATAATCTTGGCAAACATACCTACAGGATGAGAAGGTAATGAGTATTGCTTTCAGGACAAGGGCACTGTTTGAACCATATCTTGGCATAAAGCAGCTGAATTTCATAAGCAGCTGTTAAGATGCTGGGCATGCACTTGTTTGGACCATGGTTGAGAGAAGTGGGGGAGTCTGGGAGGACTTACCTCCGGCTACGTTATATATGCTGTACAGATGACGTAAGAGTGGAGGTAGCCGCAGAGAAACTGGCTGGGTTGCTGCGAGCCTGATGTTGGTATCCACGATGTGGCCTCTAACAACATGCGTTTTCATTTCTTTTAAACCTTATCTTTAGGCAGCAGAGAAGTCAACAAAAAGATGATTCCTCTCCCCACCTCCTTGAGTGGACACCAGCTGTACACAGAGGACAGATTTCCAATAAACACATCTGGGGGGTGACCCAAGGAGTTTGGTTGAAAGCTGCTAACCGGAGGATGGGTGAGAGACTACTTACTGGAGAAGCACAGGGGATTTACCAGCGGCTACACCATTGAAGAGAAGGTCTCTTCTTCCCCCAGCTGCCATTACCAGCCCATAGGTCCTCAGGGAGGTACAAAACACAACACACATACAAAAAGATTTCACAAGGAATAAAGAAGGGAACCCAGGGCACGTGTAGTGTGAGCGCTCACCCACATTTTCTTAGGAACCCCGGTTAGAATAAGTGCTACTGGGAAGACAGTAGGCGGTGCCTTTCTGGGTGATCTTGTAACCTTCCTGGTAGGAGGAAGTGCCATTTTCCCGCCGGCTGCTGGACTACTGAAACAATGCACCCCACGGAATTGGAATTTCCCCAGGAGTGGCATGCTGGGAGAAGGAAGGGGCTCAGTGCGAGACAGAAGAGGAACTTGTCTGAGAGAGAGAGGCTGCTTGTTAGACCATCTTGTCTGGAGCTCAGAGGCTGCCCAGGGTGGGAGCACACTCCGCAGGGACTGGGCTTCCCTCTTGCCCATTGTCTAAATGTAACCTCTCACAGTGGTCTGGGGTGTGAACCACAGGACCCTCTCTTCTCTTTCCCAGTGTGGCTTCATTGCATGCATCTCCATCCTCTGTCACTGTTTGTTTCCCGAAAGTATTAGGGGTTGTCCACCGCTCCAGAGCAGCTAGCTAACAAGGAGGACCCTAAGAGAGACACATAGATAGCCCAGCAAAACAGAAATCGATGAGATCTACATGAGCAAACTGGGGGTGGGGGTGGGGGTAATGGAGGGCAAAGAATGGGGGATGAGAACATAAGGAAATGGGAGGTTCGAGCTGGAACAGGGACAGAGTGGGAGAGCAAGGAAAGAGATACCATGATAAATGAAGACACCATGGGAATAGGAAGAGGCAGGGTGCTGGGGAAGTTCTCAGGAATCCACAAGGATGACCCCACCTTGGACTACTGGCAATGGTCAAGAGGGCGCCTGGACTGGTCTACTCTGGTGATCAGATTGGTGAATACCCCAACTGTCATCATAGAGCCTTCATCCAGTGACTGATGGAAGCAGATGCAGAGATCCATGGCTGGGTCCCAGGATGAGCTCCAGAAATCCAATCAATGAGAAACAGGAGGCATCCTGTGGGCAGGGGACGTCGAGATCATGATGGGAAAATGCACAGAGATGACCAGCCACACTAGTGAAAACCCATGAACTGTGGACCAATAGCTATGGAGCCCCCGTGGGACTGGACTAGGCCCTCTGGATGCGGGAGACAGTTGTTTAGCTTGAACTGTTTGCCCCCCTCCCCCGGCAGGGGGACCGGGATCTGTCCCTGGTGCATGGGCGGGATTTTTGGAGCCCAATTCCTAGGGTGTGACACCTTTCACAGCCTTGGTGTAGGGGGGAGGGGTTTGGACCTGTCTCAGCTGAGTGAGCCAGGCTCTGCTGACTCCCCATGGGAGACCTTGACTTGGAAAATGTGGGGATGGGGGGGGTGGGTGAGTTGGGGGAAAGGCTGGTAGGTGGGAAGAGGGAAACAGGGGTGGGTGGGTGGGTGGGGTGTCTGTGGTTGGTATGTAAAGTAAATAGACAATGTCTTAATAATAAAAAAAAAGTATTAGGGTTGTAAGAGCCCAGGTTTTGGTCCAGCAGCTCTGGTAACAACGTCTGTAATTTTTACAGCTTTGCTCTCTTTCATATTGTTAATTTGTTTTAAATGACCATAAGTTTAAAAAAATTTTTTTTATTTTACATGTATTGGTGTTTTGCTTATATGTATATCTGTATGAGGATGCTGGATCCCCTGGAACTGGAGTTACAGACAGTTGTGAGCTGCCATGTGGGTGCTGGGAATTGAACCGGGTCCTCTGGAAGAGCAGCCAATGCTCTTAATTGCTGAGCCATCTCTCTAGCCTCATGACCATACTTTTTTATTTTTTGTTACTGGACCTCGGATGAAGAGAACCATTAACTTCCTAGTTCACAGCATATAATCAACATCAGTTTCTATAAGGCCTTCACCTTGCTTTAATTTGTTTTAGTATTTTATATTCATGGATGGCTTTTAAAATTAGAACAATCTGCACTAAAGTTTCCAGAAGGTACTTTATCAGTCACAAATCTGTAAGGATGGAAGGAATGTTGGATCGAGGGCCCTGCACTGTCCAGGGCTGAATTCAGAATTGTTTTCCTACTCGCCTTGCATGAGGGCAGAGATGGGATTAGAACATCAGTTCATTTGTCCTTGGAATATTTGGTTTAGCTCCCAGCAGGATTCCATCTTCAGTCTAATGGGCTTAAAATAGTGCACCACCAAGTTTTGGGGGAAACGGATGTGGGACAGGCAGGAGAAACCTTGTTTGTCCCGGCAACAAAGTATCACAAAGGAGGTGTAGACTGACTAGCAGGGATGCATCATCCACAGTTTCCAAAGTTAGAAGCCCACAAGCAAGGCAGCAACTGAGCCTCTCTCTCCCCTTCCTCCCCCCCCCTCCCAAGGCTGCAAGGGAGAATCTTGTGGCCTCTTGGTGCTGTGCTGTAGCCCCAGATTTTCCTTGTGTCTGGGTTTTCTGTCCTTGTCAGGGGCTTGCTGTGTCTGTCTCTAGGTCCAGCTTGTTATAAGGACACTGGTCATTTCAAATCTGGGTCCAGCCCAAAACCTCTGTGTAGATTCTTTCTCCAAATAAACACTTTGGTGTAGTGGGACACATGGGGGTTGCAAATACACTTGGATATCACTCCTGACCTCACCACTCACCGGTACTGTCACATCAGGACGCCGTTGGTCACTCATCACCCATTTTCTCTTTGTAGAATGGAATGGGTCATTTTCTGTGAGAATTGGCTGAGACTCTGGGCTTGTCTTTGCTTTCCCAGGTTCTCAGAGGGGAGATTCGTGGATAAAATCAAAGGTTTAATTTCTGTATTTAGTTTTCCCTAGACTGGCACTTCTTTCAGAGGCCACCGTGACCCACGCTTGTCCAGCTATAATTTGCAGGCCACTTTTTAGGTGATATCCATGTCAAACATTTAATAGCATTCCAACTCAGACAGCACAATTCATTGACTGATACCGGATAAGGTTGTATTGGGTGGGGAGAAAGGATGCATCTCCCAGACATGGAGACCAACACTTCCTAATCCTGCCTCACACTGAGTTTACCTGACGGACGATTTCTTGAGACATTCTCATAGTCGGCCAAGGTAACCCATAGATTAAGCAGGTTCCCTCCTTTACGAACAATAAATACTAGACAGGAATTTAGTTTGTAGTGTTGTGTTGGAAAAAAACTCTGGCCAATGGAGTGAGGAGCCAGGAGGTGAGGCTGGAAGCGCTGGCGGAAGCTTGTGTTTGGGAAGAACCAGGTGCTAAGTTCTGTGACACCCTTGGCCACTTCCTTTTTCTTCAGATTAATTATGTTGACTGTGTACTTGACTTCTACCAACAGTGCAAATTTGGAAATGTCAGCCGAAAGTACTTTTACGGGATGCCGCAACTTTTTGATATCCTGGGCAGTCTAAAGCAAACTATTTTTCTTCCCGAATGAATCCTAATTTACTTTAGTTTTATTACCACCCCCCCCCCCCGTCGGCCTCTGTTAAGTTGAATAGCTGCTTTAGTGTTTCAACGGTGTACTAACTGTAGACTGTTTGTTGGAAATCATTTAAAGCAAGTGTTTCCTAGGGCCACGCTACATGGAGAGGAGTATTTATCGGTGTTTTTACATTTGTTTATAAGGCTGCATCTATTGCAATTGTTGCAAACAGCGTAAGCAAAACGTTAACATAAATATGCCAAAAGTCAAGTTTAGAAATCAGTCCAGGGATTTTGGTGCGCAACAGTGTATACACACACAGGCCTGTGTGTTAATGTATATACTCTTTTGGGCCATTAACGCTGTTATTTTAGAATAGGTACAAAATACAAATTGAGGCAGCGGCTGTCTCCTAATTACAAAGTAGCCAGCACAGCAGACTGGGCTGTCAGTGGCCGGAGAGCACACCCGGCTGCATTCAGCTAGGCGGAAGACTTAGAATGGATAAAAAGGCAGACTTCCAGTAGAGACTCGACGGCCAAGGCCAAGTGGGCAAATTAAGAATCAGGAAACCGAGGTGGCTTACGACAAGCAAGAACCGAGACATACGCCCCGGGGCAGGTCCAGGCTGGGCATTCCGATGGAGACGCCGGGGGAACCGGCGCCCAGGAGCGTGCCCAGCCTGGAAAGTTTCTGCGCGGCCGGCGCGGCTCGGGCGCGGCCACGGCCTGATCAAGGTGGCG